GAACTACTTAGAAATGCTTGACTTCAGACCAATGATTTATATGGTCACAAGAGCTTCTTTTTGATGCATACGTTTCCTATATTGCACTGTAAGGGGTGCCTTTTCCTTCAAATTATTTGTGTGCATCACAATCTGCATATTTTTATCCTACCTGCCTTTTTCACATAACCCTGATATAATTAATTTCGTTTTTTAGTGTACTAAAGCATATGCTAGGAGACCATTCTCTTTATACATGGAAGAAAAACAACTATTGGTTGCAGAAATATTTCAGTATGTCTAAAAATCTCACATAGAAAAAAATCGTATGATGATGAATCTATTTTGTATATAATCTATATAAATGTGCTCTGCTGTCCAGCATTTCTAGTAAATGCTGTTTTTTTCCCATTAATTGAGACGAATATGCTTGACTTCTAAATTCTAAGATATCTAATTAATTGCAGATGTATTAAAATCTCATCACCATAGTATTTTTGCCAAAAGGATTTCTGACCTTTTCTGCTAATTGTTACATGCAAACCATAATTACTTCCAGCATATTGAACAATTATTGGATTAACTGTCTACCATTTTGTTTTCAGTATTCTTTACCATTCCATTTATTAGCTGTGGGGATGCAAATTAGGTTTTATTGTTATTTCCAGATGCTCGCATTTTCTTTACACATTTTGAATGTACTGGTCTTTACCCCAAACCAATATAACTTTTTCAGCTACATTGCTGCTGGGAAAATACTGAAACCTTTTGTGTAATAGGCAAAAGTGTGATTTGTGGAGTCAGCCAACTTCGAGTGCTCAAATATTACTTAATTTTAAGCTTTTTAGTGGTATTCATAAACAAGTTGAAGTCATCAAAGTGTATTTTTGATGAAGTCAAGCGAAGGGAAAAACAGCATATTTACTAGTTCAGGGGTAGCCAAACACTGGTCCTCCAGCTGTGGCGGAACTACAAATCCCATGAGGCATTGCAACATTCTCACAGCCAAAGACATGACTTTTGGAGAGAGATACGTCATGGGATTTGTAGTTTCACCACAGCTGGAGGACCAGTGTTTGGCTACCCCTGTACCAGGTGAAAGAACTTAAACTAAGAATTAAGATCTCTTTAGTAGAGGACCAAGTGCAAATGAAACTGTGGGGAGATTCCACTTAGTGACATAACTGACCCATTTACATCATATACTCATTTTCTTTACATGATGGGCAATATGAAATATTATCTAATACAATTGCTATTAAATCAAGTAGTTTTAAGGCACAAAAAAGCAGCCCTCTGACATCACCCTTAGAATAAAAATACTGCTAACCTTTACTCTGTGACACAACTATCTATATGTTATTGAATACGCTTGCTTATATGTGGCCACTTATATGTGGCATATACAATAGATTAAAGGGGTCTATTCACGAAGCTGCCGAAGGATCTGGCCGTAGCTTCGGCCGATCCTTCTACTGAACCGAAGGGGTGCTGTACGGGCTATTCACAATAGCCCGACAGCTCCCGGTCATGGCCGAGCGGCTCAGCCGAGCCGAACACATATGCATCGGCTCGGCTGAGCCGTGCTGAAAAACGAAGCTGGCCGAGCTTCTGACAGCTGGGCGGAGCCAGCCGGCGGAGGCTCCGGCCACTTTCAGATAGATCAGCATCCCTGGTTACCTGCTAAACAGGGATAGTGATCTCCAAACAGCTAACTCTCCCTGGCGGCCCGGGAGTCTCCTAGGTGGTAAATAATTACTTGTAGAACCTTTGTGGTAATGCTTCTAATACAATCTAAGTAGAGCAAAACTAATATGCTTTTTGTTTTAAAGGAAAAATCATATCCTGATCCGATCCGACCAGCGCTGACTGGCACAACGGACGGGGGAGGGGGCGGGTACAGCTGGCTCTGCCTCTAGATAGGCAGAGCCAGCTGTCACTCGCACAGCTGGGCGGATCCCGTCATCTACGTCGGGATCCGCTCCGGCTTGCTCGTCTCAGTATACCGAGAGCTGTAGCTCGCGATATACTGAGCTTAGGGTAACGGGAGGACGCTAGTTTGTGTCCTCCCATTACCCTAAGTAGAACTATGGGGAAAAACACTGACCCCCATAGTTCTCCTTTAAGCTTAGCAGATGGCCAACTAAAAATACAGCATTTTCCCAAGCAGCAATTAGATTGCCATTGGCCTTTTATATTGTGGGACACATTCTAGTATTTCAGATGGTGGTTTCTGATAACATTTTATTGGCAGTAGCACATGGAAAGCATCAAATTGTTTTAAAACAGAAAATACTTGGTACAAATACTAAATAGAAACCTATTTCTTTTAATGTGCTTTGTTAAATACAGCCCTTGCCATTTCCTCAAATGTATCTAATAATAATTTGTTTTGTAGACCTCTAACATGTACTTTTAAGAACTCCTAAGGAATTATGACAGATCTAAGTTACATATAAAATGTTCCCCTAAAGTATATACTAGTGCAAGTTGCATTTTAGATGGAAATTTAAAAGCCATAGTGATGCCATATATATTATTTATATAGTACATGCAATCTGTAATTTATAAAGCTAAAAAGTGCCTAGGAAATCCCACCAAAAGAAAGTGACTAAGGTTTGATAAATACTATATTGCTGTTGTAGAGCATGTGTGGCTTTCTTCCCAACAAACCACATACATATCTTCCAAGAAACCTGGGTATTTAGCACTTTGACACTAACATCTTATATTTTAGGTTCATATACTGATTCACTGTTTTGTAGTTCCCAGGCACAGAACAATCTCAGCTTAAGAATGTTTAAAAAAAACAACTAAATTTCAAGTTGTAATCAGCTAACAAAAATTCAACTGGATGTTCTAATACCATACAAACTATTTACGCAACTGCTGTCTTTTTTATAGAGTACTGACTATTTCCACACTTTGAACAGTGAGAGGAAGGCAGTGATAATATATTCAAACAACTGTAGAATATAACAGCTCCATTCAGATAGAGACTTTAATGGCTATGGAGTTCAGTGACTAGCAGTGAAGGAAAAAGTGCTTACCACTTAGCCAGTATACTGGCCACAGAAATTAAAAACAAAAAATGATGAATAGCGTCCATTTTCACTGCATAATGGCATACTAGTAGGATATTCATGAACTCTTCTAACATTAGGATCTGAGGGCATTCACCTAAAAGATCAGGAAATAAGATGCAGTTCTTTGCCTGTGTAATACAAACGTTAGCAAAAATGTTGCACTTGGCTAATCTGGCATAGGAGTTGCAAAGTCAAACACACGGCAAAACAATTGAAAAAAATAATCATGATTATATACTGGATTGGCGCTTGAATGAATATATATGTCTTACCCTAATATAGCATTCCATAATACACGTCTGTAATGGAAGTGGTTAAGTATGATTATGACAAAATGCCTATCTCAATAGACAATTGTGATATATATGTTAATTTGCTTTCTGCTCGTTTGCCTTCCTCAAAACCTTACTCAGAAATTGGTGCTAAGCACCCCCCCAGATCCGAAGTACGCAGTAGAAATAGGAACCAAGTTGGCGCCTCCTCTTCAGACAACACCCAAGACGAAAGATATAAACATCTATAAACATCTTGGCAGGAAGTTATGCATAAATGGATCTAACCAATGATAAACTAGAATATATAAACTAAAATACTTTTCTGCAATGCTATGCTCAAATATACACGTTCACCTGTTAAATAAAAACCCTGAAAAGGAGAACAATAAAGCAGAAGTATCTTACTCTGAACAACTGGTCTCAGCGTGGTATGTTCTCAGAGTGTGCACTCTATATTTAATCAGGCCAGGCGGCAGATATAAATGCGGAGCCTTGATCCGATCTAAATTTGTGAGCAGGTCCAAAACAGTTTGGCACCCCAGATGGGACCTCGGGTTCTGCACCAAGGACAGCCGATCGAGAGGAGACTGAGATGAGCCAACACACGGACGAGGCAGGGACTGATCACCTCTGACATACGGTAAGACATATTTCTTGCCAGTATATCCTTCCTCCGTGTTTGGCCTGTTTCTGTCTTCATATCGGCTCCCGAGGTCAGCAAAGACAGGTAACTTGCCCGAGGTCCGATAAAGAACCTGTGTAATCTGTATCTGCCACCTGTATACGTTGTATGTTGTATGTGTATTGACCTGTGGGACGCCAGAGGGAACGAAGTCTGTCACAGAAATATAATGTGCTGGTGTCGTGGATAAACTCTCTCCTTGAAGGCAGGGGGG